TCTTTTTATGTAACGATTTTTAGTATTTATTTTTATTTTTATATATATTTTTATTATATGATAAAATTCGAATTGCGATTTAATTTTTTAAATTTTTCTTATCTTGTATGTGAAGAGAAGAAGGAGACACAAATTATTTGAATATTAAAAAGATCGAAATGTAACAAAAATAAATATTAATAAATTATATCAATGAAAAGTAGATCGCGTGATTTTTTTTTAGTCGTATATTTGATATCATTCATAAATACTTTTTAACAATTAAATAAAATTAATTAAACCCTATTACAAAAAAAATGTCATCAATCAAAACTTGTAGAACATTATCTTCGAATAATAACATTTATTTTCATATATATATATATACGATATCTGAAATTATCTTATTGCAAATACGTACATATGATTTGTAGCAACAAAATGAAGATTTTTTCGCAAATGTTTATGCGATGCGTTCTTTAATTATATATATATTTTTTTAAAAGAAACGTGTATTGGAAGAGAACGAAGAGTTCATAAGAAATCAAAGTTTCACTCGATCTTGCACATTGGTTATCGCAACACAAATGAGTATCGAGTAATAATTCATTTTCAAAGTAAATCGAAAGTCATGTCAATCATCAATGATAAATTTTCGATATTTGGGAAATTACGTTTAATTTGGTATACTCTAAATATAAAAAACGAACGTATGAGTGTACTCGTGAAATGAAATTGCGAAGGAAAGGAAAAGAGAAAAAAGAAAGGAGGATTTATCCACCTCAGCCCCACTGAATGCTACATATAGATAATGATTGGCGTGTCGTGAGTAACCAGACGAAGAAAGAAACGGGTCGAGGTCGTTCGTGCTCTGAATAAAGCTGTAGTAATTGTATGCAATTACACGTGGCTTAAGAAAAAAAAATAAAATTATCAGCAATACTGATGATTTAAAAAAAAAAGCTTTTAATATGAATTGGCCTTGATTCGAAGTTACAAGTTGTACATAAACTTCTACAGTTTTCATTTGTAAATCTAATTATGCAATTGCAAATGAATGCTCGATGTGATTTGACTACATCGGTGGATCGTAAATAACAATAACGTCGATAACAATAACGTATAAAATATTGAAGTTAAAATTTGATTTTCGAAAAAATTAAGTTCGAAAATTCATTTATGTATATTAAAGAAATATATAGATATATATATAATAGAAAAAAAAATATAGAAAAATAGTAGAACTTTACAATCTCATTTTTATCTATCGTGTTATGAAATGATATTATTTTAAATAATATTTCAA